AACCCGTCCCCCCCCCTCCCCCCCAGAGGTTCACCCGCTGAGCAACCCCCGCGGCAAGGACAAGGCGGCGGGTGCGGGCAAGAAGGGCGGCCGCAGCGGCGGCAAGGCGGACGCCAAGAAGGACAGGAAGAAGCACTGACCTTAGTGGCCTTAGTGTCCTTAATGACCTACGTGTCCTTAGTATCCCTAGTGTCCTTAGTGTCCTTAGTGTCCTTAATGACCTACGTGTCCTTAGTGTCCTTAGTGTCTTTAGTATCCTTAGTATCCTTAGTGTCCTTAGTATCCTTAGTATCCCTAGTGTCCTTAGTGTCCTTAGTATCCTTAGTGTCCTTTGTATCCTTAGGGTCCTTGATGTCCTTAGTGTCCTTAGTGTGTTTTACGGACGTAGCAGCCCCAGGCCACGCTGGAGCGCTGCCTAATAGCTACCGTAATATGTTCACTATCGTAGTGGTGATGGTGGAAGTGGTGATCTGTATGAATGGTGATTATAAAAGCGGTAACCAATAAAGTACAAACTTTCATTAGAAGTAGAAACTAAATTACGTAATTACTAGTAGTAAATTACGTAACCAATAACTTGATGAGTGGTAAGCGTGAATGGAACTTAACGATATTAACTAATATTGTCGTATTATTCTGCATATTACTTAATATCGTCATATTATTCAGCAATATTAGAGATCCTGACATCGAGATAACGTACCAGCAAAATAAATGAATAGATAAATAGGTTCTCGTACTATATATAAATTCTCATTCATTTCTAAAGACTGATGGTCTTATTTTTAATATATTTCCCATTCAAATTTATCCCAATCTAAACATTCCGAATGCTGGATCTGTGTAGCAATGAATGAATAGTATAAATGAATATGTAATGAATGAGTGCGCTCTCTGTAAACCAAGCCTCGAAATTCTTAGTGAATAAAAAAATAAAAAGTCTCAAAGTTCCGTGCAGAACATTTATGTACATAACAAAAGATAAACTATGTACGGAAACATTCAATTTATGTACGGAAACATTCAAGCTGAAGACCAGAAACTGTTTTAATTGTAAATAAATGCAAAGATAAATCCATTGTATTATAAAAATTTGAAGCTGCAAGAAGAATTAAATGTTGTAAAATTAAGATTAGAGTCTTAGGATGACTGAATTTTTAGTTGTAAGGATTTAAACTAGGAAATGGCAGAGCTCTCAATAAATGGGCTGGGAGCTTTCTTCTTTGGGAGCCCATACATGGGCTGGGAAGGAAATGGGACATAATCAGGATATGGTTAATGGAATTTATGGATGAATTGTAAAATCAATTAATAGTAAGATCTGTCGATCGATTATTAAAATTACTCATTAAATCAATCCTTGAAATTAGGGGAAACGCCTTGAATTTTGTGACCCAAATTCCTGACTAAGGACCCTTGATCCTGACCCCTGATCCCTGACTCTGACCCTCGACACTGACTTTCGATCCTGACCCCTGACTCTGACCCTCGACCCTGACCCCTGACTCTGACCCTCGACCCTGACCCTCGACCCTGACCCTCGACCCTGACCCTGACCTCTGATGCCTGACTTTGACTGTTGTAAAAAAAACTTGGCGCTTTTTTCAAATATAATAGGCTTTTTGTTCAAGATTTAGTGCAGCTGTGCGTAGCTGCCTGCCATCGACGTACAGAACAATTATTATAAGCACGTTGCACGTGCATTGCGCGATATTAAACTTTATTGAGCATGTCTAACGACAAGTTCGGTGTGGATAGCGTAAGTCTGATGTAACTAAGCGCGTTTGCTGACCAGCTTCATTTTGATCTGAGAAACTGAGCGGATATTTTATTGTCCTTAGTCCTTTTGTCCTTAGTCCTTTTGTCCTTAGTCCTTTTGTCCTTAATCCTTTTGTCCTTAGTCCTTTTGTCCTTAGTCCTTTGCCCTTAGTCCTTTGTCCTTAATCCTTTTGTCCTTAGTCCTTTGTCCTTAATCCTTTTGTCCTTAATCCTTTTGTCCTTAATCCTTTTGTCCTTAATCCTTTTGTCCTAGTCCTTTTGTCCTTGGTCCTTTTGTCCTTAGTCCTTTTGTCCTTAGTCCTTTTGTCCTTAGTCCTTTTGTCCTTAGTCCTTTTGTCCTTAGTCCTTTTGTCCTTAGTCCTTTTGTCCTTAGTCCTTTTGTCCTTAGTCCTTTTGTCCTTAGTCCTTTTGTCCTTAGTCCTTTTGTCCTTAGTCCTTTTGTCCTTAGTCCTTTTGTCCTTAGTCCTTTTGTCCTTAGTCCTTTTGTCCTTAGTCCTTTTGTCCTTAGTCCTTTTGTCCTTAGTCCTTTTGTCCTTAGTCCTTTTGTCCTTAGTCCTTTTGTCCTTAGTCCTTTTGTCCTTAGTCCTTTTGTCCTTAGTCCTTTTGTCCTTAGTCCTTTTGTCCTTAGTCCTTTTGTCCTTAGTCCTTTTGTCCTTAGTCCTTTTGTCCTTAGTCCTTTTGTCCTTAGTCCTTTTGTCCTTAGTCCTTTTGTCCTTAGTCCTTTTGTCCTTAGTCCTTTTGTCCTTAGTCCTTTTGTCCTTAGTCCTTTTGTCCTTAGTCCTTTTGTCCTTAGTCCTTTTGTCCTTAGTCCTTTTGTCCTTAGTCCTTTTGTCCTTAGTCCTTTTGTCCTTAGTCCTTTTGTCCTTAGTCCTTTTGTCCTTAGNACACTAGTGACGGCGCTGACACTAGTGACGGCGCTGACACTAGTGACGGCGCTGACACAAGTGACGGCGCTGACACTAGTGACGGCGCTGACACTAGTGACGGCGCTGACACTAGTGACGGTGCTGACACTAGTGACGGCGCTGACACTAGTGACGGCGCTGATACTAGTGACGGCGCTGATACTAGTGACGGCGCCGACACTAGTGACGGCACTAGTGACAGGGGGGCGCTGTGAAGGGCGCTGGCCGTCCCCTCGCTCCTGGAGGCCTCTGATTTTTCCATTAATTTTGTACTCAATTTATTTATTTTTATTCAATTCATACATTTGTATTCAATTTGTTTATTTTAGTTCAACTCATACATTTTTACTTAATTTGTTCTTATTTAATGTACACATTTGTACTCAGTTTGGGTATTTTAGTTCAATTCGCACATTTGTACTTAATTTGTTCAATTTTATTCAATTTACGCATTTGTACAAAATTTTTAATTCATTTTTAATAAACAATTGCAATAAATGGACGTGGCAATGGCTATGGTATAGTGACGCTAGAAACGTTCATCAATATAAATATAACAACTTCCATAATATCATACAGATTACAACACAAAACATTGTGTAGTTCATGTTTATCAAGGTAAGCTCACGCAGCAGATATATCTTAACTTTCACGTCAAATCAGGGTGCGTACTGGTCATGGAAAACCTGGAAAGTCATGGAATTTAATTTTTCATTTTCCAGGCCTGGAAAGTCATTGGATTTCATTTCAGGTCATGGAAAGTCATGGAAAAAAGGCGCTTTAATTTTCCTCAATAAGGTTGATGTTGGTTACTTTGCCGGGACCTCGATAAAAAAAAAACAGTATGCAGACAAGAAGGTGTGCACTGCAAGTTCTCACTTTCAAGACACAAGCACAGGACTTCATGCAGGCTGTAGTCCAAAAGCTACTGGACAAGAGGTCAAGAGTCCTATCAGGTAGCCTTATCCCTGCTTTGGATCTGAGAGCTACATACTGGATACTGGACAAGAGCCCTATCAGGTATGGCCTTGGTTTGAACCTGAGATGGCTGGTGCCTAAAGTCTTCATCAAGAAGGACTGCAAGGAAGCTGACAAGACACAGTTGAAGAACTGTCTCACTTTGCTTGTTGATGCCAAAAGATTCCCTAACACAGATGTGGATGGTGTTGTGGATGAGATGTGCAACTTTAGAGATGAATCACAACATTGCAGTGAACTGAGCACAGTTTCAAGCATTTTCAATTTCTGATCAACTGGGCACTTTTTGGCATGCCATTCTGTCAAAGAGCACCTACAAGAAGCTCTGGAATGGAGTGCAGATGCTCATGCTCCTGTCTCATAGCCAAGCCATGGTTGGAAGAGGGTTTTTGTTCAACAAGAAAATCATGACACACAACATGAAAGAGCAAATGGTGATTGCCCTGCGTACTGTGGTTGATCATGTTGCACATGTTGGTTGCCTGGACAAGAAGACATCACCAAGAAGATGCTGCTTGCAGCTGGCAGTGCCAAAACAGCCAACAATAATTATTTGGCAGAAGAGAAAGAGCAGAATGCGAAGGCCCAGAAAACTCAGAATAGGAAGGCTTTATTGGATGAGCTAGAAGAAAAGGCATACGGAGGAGGACATCAAGGCGCTTGAGCAAGCAGCAGATGAATATGCAGAAGCAATGGAGAGAAATGGCGATGTGAAAATTATCGCAAAGTTCAACGTCATGAGGCGATCTTTGAAAACAAATCTAGACACTCTTGAACTGAACATTAAAGAAAAAGTTGGCGAAATAACTGCCAATTGAGTGTTAGGGTAGTGGTGTTGAAGACTGTTCTGAACTGTATTGACTAGACATTATCATGTAAATATTGTGTGCATTACTCAATATCTGTTGTGATTTGACACTATTGAATTCATAACAATACCAGTGTGGGCTTGATTTTCAGATTTGTGTCATTTATGTTCCTCTGTGTCTGCCGGCTCTATGCATATACACATTTGCTATTTATCAACTGTAGGAGATGATAGAATATGCCCGGTTAGTCTTTCAGTTATGCTAAACCTGTCGTATACGAGTTTTGGAAAATTATATTGATGGTCATGGAGAGGCATGGAAAAGTAATGGAATTTTTTCTCTAAATACCAGTACGCACCCTGTAAATTGACGTGGCAATGGCTATGGTATAGTGACGCTAGAAACATTAATCAATAGCGTGCTGCAGGTGGGTCAACAAGTGGGTCACCCTCCCCCTACACCAGCGTGCTGCAGGTGGGTCAATTAAATGGTTAACTTCTTATTGTTTATTATTCTTATTAACTTATTATTATAACTTACTGGTTTATTATTTGCTTATAACATTATTATTCAAGGTTATTTATTCATTTTAATAATTATATAGATTTGTAAGTATAATATTACTTGCCATCGTCAAGTTATTCACTTTTTAATACCAGGTTGCGGTGTTATTACTGCCACGTTATTACATTATAATAACTATTTCTTTATAAGGTTATTTATAGTTACTATTATCTCGTAGACTTTACTTATAAACTTTCTTGTCTGTTATTAATTATTTCAATAATAGTTGAGCATTAAAAAGTATAATTGTCAATTGGAAAAAAATGCTTCTTATTCGAAGTTGATTATAAAATTATGTGACATACATTGCTTAATTATTAAATTTTAAAAAATTTTAAAAATTATTTAAATTTCATAATTAATAAAAATATAATTGATAAAAATTGCCTAATTATCTTTGTGTGCAGATCTTGGAAGAAGCCTGCGCCAAGTTCAACTATGACCCAGACCTGTACACCCTCAAGTGAGTCAAGTATGACCCAGATCTGTACACCCTCAAGTGAGTCAAGTATGACCCAGATCTGTACACCCTCAAGTGAATCAAGTACGACCCAGACCTGTACACCCTCAAGTGAGTCAAGTATGACCCAGATCTTTTCACCCTCAAGTGAGCCAAGTATGACCCAGATCTCTCCACCCTCAAGTGAGTCAAGTACTGTTCTCCCTAGAGGGAAATATTCACTCAGGGAAATTAATGGGCCAGGTTGTCCCAAAATTGACACACTTGCTTGCCCACATCATGAGCAGAGAGCGGGCATAGCACTGATGCGCCCGGTTGCAGGGACAAATGGGTCATGATGACCCATAAAAGAGCGGGTCAAATTGCAAATTGACAAAGAGCTATTTGGACAAAGTCTCATTCATTTCTTTGGGTGTCGTTCCTATGTGGTACCAGTGCTACTTGGGGAAAGCTTAATTGGCTTAAGTTATTCTCCGCAACATCAGTTAGAGCAATACCTACAAATATTTCTCTCTGATTAATTTTCATGCTAAATTAATTACTTCTAGGTTTGATTAGACTTTTAGAACTAGACATTTAAAACTATAGGATATGTATTATTCTTGCATCTATTACATTGCCGGCTTATCTTTACTGTATTTCTAGTACGATTGTGCTATGTCAGGGCAGGGAAGCTGTAGGATTGTGGCAGGACATGGCAGGGTAGCTGCAGGATTGTGGCAGGACAGGTCAGGGTAGCTGTAGGATTGTGGCAGGACAGGGCAGGGTAGCTGCAGGATTGGGGCAGGACAGGGCAGGGTAGCTGCAGGATTGGGGCAGGACAGGGCAGGGTAGCTGCAGGATTATGGCAGGACAGGGCAGGGTAGCTGCAGGACTGTGGCAGGGCAGGGTAGCTGTATGATTATGGCAGGATAGCTGTAGGATTGTGGCAGGACAGGGCAGGGTAGCTGCAGGACTGTGGCAGGACAGGGCAGGGTAGCTGCAGGATTGTGGCAGGACAGGGCAGGATTGTGGCAGGACAGGGCAGGGTAGCTGCTGCAGGACTGCATATCCTACACACCACGCCCCCCCTCCCCCCGCAGGCACGCAGGACGCCCCCTAGACGTGTCGTGCAGCTGTCTCTTATACACATCTAGATGTGTATAAGAGACAGAGTATGACCCAGATCTGTACACCCTCAAGTGAGTCAAGTATGACCCAGATCTGTACACCCTCAAGTGAGTCAAGTATGACCCAGATCTGTACACCCTCAAGTGAGTCAACTATGACCCAGATCTGTACACCCTCAAGTGAGTCAAGTATGACCCAGATCTGTACACCCTCAAGTGAGTCAACTATGACCCAGACCTGTACACCCTCAAGTGAGTCAAGTATGACCCAGATCTGTACACCCTCAAGTGAGTCAA